TTTTTTTTAAGAAAAGGTGTTTGGATAGTGTCATTTTTCAATCTTGCCTGTCCAGACATATATTCCTTTGATCTTTGAGTGTGGAGGACAATTATTTGTGATGTTCTAGAGTCAGAACCCTGCACACATCCTGCCATTCAAACCTACACTATAGTATTGCACATGAGTCCAGTACAGGTCCGGTTCCTGTTTCTTGGAAGATGATCTTCTTTTTCCTGACTAGAAGCTTGTGGGCTTTTCTCTTTACCTTCAGGATCAGACCTTTCTCTAGGGCAGATCTAAGTGGGACCTTAGAGAACTCAAGACTGGTGCTTTTGGCCAGGTGCAGTGGCTCACCTCTGTAATCCCAGCATTTTGAGAGGCTGAGGCAAGGATTCCTTGAGCCTAGGAGTTTGAGACCAGCCTGGGCAATATAAGTGAGACCCCATCTCTACAAAAAATAAAAAATTAGCTGGGTGTGGTGTACACTCCTGTAGTCCCAGCTACTCAGGAGGCTGAGGCTGGAGTATCCCTTGAGCCCAGGAGGTCGAGGCTGCAGTGAGCAGTGGTCGTGCCATTGCACTCTAGTCTTCAACAAAGCGAGACCCTGTCTAAAAAGAAAAAAAAAAGAAAAAAGATTCATGCTTTCCTTCATCTCAGAAGAAGGTTCTTCCATCTCTTCTTTGGCTATGGCCCATTATTCTCTGCTATCTCCTTCTGGAATTCACGTTATGTAGATAATTCTATCCTTTATCTTTTCTGCATGCCTTTGCCCTTTTCTTTCACAGATTTTGTCTGTAATATGAGAGAAATCTTTGACTTGGGCTTCTGAATCACAAGTGGGCTTTTCAGCAATGTCCTTTCTCCTATTTACTGCCGCTATGGAATAATTCATTTCCTCAGTGTTTTTTTAATTCTCAGGAATGCTTCTTGTTTTTGGATTTCTTGTTTTTCAGAGCACCTTGTGCCTGTTCTTGTTTTATGGATGCCTGTTCTTGTTTTATAAATACAATATTCACCTGAATCTCCTTATATACTAATTCGGCTTCTTAAAAGTCTTTTCATGATTCTGGACATAACCCTGTATCAAAGTATAATTTCTGAAAAGGTAAAAAAAAGTGACTCTTACACAAATCTTAGAATGAATGTATATGACAGATTTATCCAGCTCGTTAAGGAGTAGGGACTCAGCAGATGGCAATCAGCAGAATTAGGAAAACAGACATTGGAGAAAGAATGTAGGAAGAAAGTGAGACTGGAGTCAAAGCTGGTTAATGACCTACAGGGTAATAAACCATAACCTTTGGAGTTTTCTTTTGGGCAGAAATCACATACATCTGCCAGATAAAAATCTACAAGTTAAAATGTAATTTCACAACATCCAGACCTTTAGTGAACAGGAAATTGTGAATCAAACAAAGGTATATTCCCCCTGGATAATGAAATAATCTTTAAATGGCCTGTTAAATTATGCTTCAAAATGACATTGTGAGAAATAGTGCCTTCCCTTTGCCATATTTCCAAGTTCTAGGATAATTTTTCCTAACTCTTGTTTCAGGGAAGTCATTTGTTCTGCTGGCTCCACTGTCTGACTCCCATGGGCACCCCCACGCTGCCCTTTTGACTTGAAGCATTCTGTATTGCTTAGCGATTCTTTCCTGTCTGCTCATATTTATAAATAAAGACGATGAGGCTCTAAGCTGAACAGAGTGAAGAGCTGCCTAGCTTCAGCTTCATGGCGAGCTCTCGGTTTGACATCTTCTCTTGGCCCTCGAGATAGGGGCTGAATGAGGCGAGGTCTGCAGGCCAGCATTCTTGGGAGATCAGGGAGGGCTGGGCATGGGGCCGACATGCAGTGTGTGTGCAGTAACACAGGGCCCCACGCTTGGGTCCATACTCTGCTGTCACTATTTGGAAATTCTTAATCATTTATGAACAAGGGGCCCTGCATCTTCACTTTGCACCAAGCCCCACCATGATGTAGGTGGTCCTGGCTGGGGGATAGATGCAAAGGAGACTTTTTTTTGAGACAGTTTCATTCTGTCACCCAGGCTGGAGTGCAGTGGTGCGATCACAGCTTACTGCAGCCTCGCCCTCCCTGGACTCAGGTGATCCTCCCACTTCAGCCTCCCAAGTAGCTGGGACTATGGACACATGCCCCATGCCCGGCTAATTTTTTTTTTTTTTTTTTTTTACTTTGTAATTTTTTTGTAGAGACAAGGTCTCACTATGTGACCTCCTGGGTTCAAGTGATCCTCTCACCTTGGCCTTTCGAAATACTGGGATTATAGGTGTGAGCCACCATGCTCAGCTGACGTTTTCGCTAGAGTCATGAGCACGCTCACTGCCCAGCTATGTGCTGGATTTGGGAACTCAGGTGAACAGGACCACCCTGTGCTCGAGGTCGTTCTCATCCTTTGTGTCCAGGGACGGCGTGGGTGGACAGGACAGGATGGGGCGTCACAACCCTGGCTCCAGAGCCCAGCCCTCCAGTCCCCCTCCCACCCAAGACCTGTCCCCAGAGCCGCCCACCCATCCCCTGCAGTCCCACCCGGGCATGGTGTTATAAATGTTCTGTTTCCCAAGTAACCAGCCTATTTCCTCCCTTCCTGTACCTCCCCTTCCCCAAATTAATTACTGGCTCTTTCTTCAAGCTGTGGAGGCAGACATACACCTCCGAGTTGGAAGGTTCCTTAGAGGTCACGGCCTTCATCTCCACATCTGGTGTAACCCTCATGGCAGATGTGTCTGATACGGGGGCCTGCCTCTGTTCCCAGGCTGCCCCTGCAGGGAGTGCAGTGCCTCACCAGGCGGCTGGTCTCAGACTAGGACATCCGAATGCACTAGAAAGCTTTCTTTCACGGAGCTGAAACTGATCTTCCGGTGGCTCCCACCGGATGGTACCGTTCATTCATTCATTCATTCATTCACTAAATCGACCTTTATTGAGCATCTACTACATGCCAGGCCTTGGACAGGGCAGTGGGGGCATGAAGATGAACCAGACATGCCCTTTGTGATTTCATGGAACTTTCAGTTTGGAAAATAGAAATAAAACACATCACCACAGCTAAAGTCTAAATTGGAATCCATGCTGTCATCAAGAAGTATAGAGGGCCATCAGGTCATGGAATGGGGCCCTGCTTTTGA